TTAAACACAAATAATTTAATTTACCTTTTCAATCCGTGAAGTATTTTTTTTTTAACACATTCTATTTATTATTTTTATATATTTTCGTGTATATATATTTATCTCATATGTCTATATATATATATATTAGATACATTTTTGTTATTTTCGTATATATATATTTGTTATTTTCGTATATATGTATATATATATATTTATATATATAATCGATTAAAAGAAACTTAACATGAAATTGTTATATATGTTTGTAGAAAAGGTACAGGTGACTACTTCATTAAATATTACCAAGCTGATCGCCCATGACTCTGTTGATGAGATCCGTGAGTTTTGGAGAAGGTAAAATTATATATTTTGGGAGATATTATATGTTGTTGTTTCGCGTATAACTACTAGAAGGGAGTTGAAGATATTAGTTTGTGAGAATGAAAAGTTGCCCAATAATCAAACTCATAATGTTGTGTACAAAGAGGTCTTTAATAATATATGATTATTTCTTTGTGGAATAATATTTTTATTGTACAATTTTCCTCCGTATTGTAAAACTTTTATATTGCATATTGCATCTTATAATATAATAATCCCAAAGTTAATATATCCCGTTTCGCACAGGTTACGTACTATATATATCCCGTAATTTTGTTGTTCTTTATTTATATACTTATAAGGCTGGATAAGTGTCCAAAAAACTGTACATCCCGTGTATCGCACGGGCTCTGTACTAGTAAATTATATAATAGCTCATAGCTCAATGTGATGGTGTTTGAATAAATTCAAGATTTTTCTTTAATTCTTTATCTAATATTCATAATTTATAATTTACAAATTAATCTAATTATAAGTGTTCAGACTTATGTTATAAACGTGTGTATTTTATAAAAATTTTAAAGTGTAATTTTGTACACACTAAATCTAAATCGAATAATAGAGAAATTAGTCATAAAATATTTTAAAAATATCCTAAAAGCCTTTATAGATTATTAATAAAAACATAGTAAAAGGATAACAAAATGATAAAAAAAAAAAAAGAAATCAATAACACACTTGTTCTTCATAATAAATAAATAAATAACATGTTTGCACAATATTATAGTATCATTTATACAATTTTCTAAAATAAGTTGAAAACTAAAAAAACATATGACCATGATTAAATTAATCCATTAAACAATAAATATTATATATATATATAGCACAATAAGTATTACATTACAATTTGAGAGAGTAAACTATATCCACATATCTATATGTTTATAAAATATTTTATTTTTTAATATGTAAATGTAGTCAAAATGTCTACTCCCACCATCAATATATATTTTCTTATTTATTCACTTTCAACATGATTTAG